AAGATGAGGTTGATGTATACTTATATGTTGAAATGGCCAAAGTGAAAAACTCACGTCTACTTTAGCTGTTTACTATTAGCCAGACTAGGGCTTTGACTTGGTGTATGAGGTGAGGGTTTGTCGGGAGATCCTAGGCATATCGTGGGGTGATATGGCAGGACATGTTCATTACAGGGTAATGAAACTTGGATCTGTACGATATTCATTTAATAATGTATGCTCTCAGAGAGAGAGAGAGAGGTAATATCATAGCATGTTTCTATATGATGTGTACTTGGACCGGATATAAAGAGGTTAAGGGATGGATCCCTGCTCCCTCGTTGTGTGAGCCCTTATCGATGACCACAAGTAATGAAGAGCAGTCACTGTATCCTTAGAGACACTAGACTATTTGTGAAAACTGTTATGAGCGTCTGTTACTTTGGCTGTTGTTTCATACTACGATGAGACAATACTGCATAAATGGGGCAATGTAAGGAAAATAGGTGATTAACACGCTCAACTATTCAGCGCCAAAGGAAGATCGATTGACATGTCTCCTAATTGCATCGCCTTGGTCAACTCTTATTTATGTCGGGACAGGATCCAAAAGTCGGATGAATCGAGAGTAGACAGCAATGTTCATGTACGCTTCTTTGAGGGATTGAAGGTACTTGAACAGACATGATCGATTAGATCTGGCATACAAGATACTACATACTTACACTATTTGATGTGTTTTATTTTAGGTAGATCATTGTGTCGGCCTTAACGGATTTGGCTACAAGACTACCCGCTTGCAGGTTCTAAACGATCTATGTTGCATTAACGACGTATAGACATGAATTTAAAAAGGAATAAGATTCTCAGAAGACTTTGACTCGGGGAGTCAACGACTCAGGAAGTCAGCTCAATAAGCAACGGACGGATGACACCCACTCATTTGTGTGAGTGGGAGTATGTTGGTTAATGTTGTGAGATAGACACTAAAATAAGTGAGTGAATAAATTACTTAGAGATAAGATATTCACTATCCTAATAAGCAAGGTTTTAAATATCGGATATCAAAAAAATATCGGATGGCCAAAATTCCTATCAAATTGCGATTATCGGGGAAATATTGGAGATATGTGGTAAATAGCGGAATGTCATAACGGATATTTACATCTTGCTTGAAAAATTACTAAACACTGTATATTATTTTGCAACAAGCCATCTAAAAGGATATATTGGCCAACACATTGGTTATACCGGGAATATATCGCCGAGAATAGCCAAAACGTGATAAAGGATATTTAGAAACCATATCGATTGCGACAAGATCTAAAAAAGATATATCGGGCGACATATTGAGCCATGTTCGGGATATTTAAAATAATGCTAATAAATGTAGGATTCTATCTCTAAGCCCTTATATATAGATATAGGGTTTTCATGATGGGTGAATGAGAGAATATACCAAAAAACTTTAACATAGCCGTTATCTACTTCCCCATTGAAAGTCATGCTTTATGCAGTAGTTATGGCATGATATGTGGGGGGTTTCTCACTGATTGCATGGTGCGGTTGCTCTCCGACTGTTAATTAAGAAAAGTGTGACAATCCTTTGGAAAAGATTCGAATCAATAACCTTAAACTTGTTGTTTATGTTATAAAAAGTATGATATGGTTTCTTTATTTTCGCTGTGCATAATCTAGTTGTAGAGGATTCCTATTGCATGCGTATAGCTGTTCGGATCCTACAAACGATATAGCACAATTAAATTTTCATTCAAGAATTGTTTTATCCTGGAATTAATTTAACTCAATATAGTCATGAGATACAATAATCCATTAGACTATAGTGACTTAAAATTTTAATTTCTTGTTTGGTTCAATTTGTTATTAACACCTTAATATCTATATTATGTTTAGAAATTTGACGTTATAGACTATGAAGCACGGACACGAACACGACGACACAGACACGACACAGACACGGCAAAACCCAAAAAAATAGGACACGGCGACACGGCTAGATTTTTTAATATTATTATTATATATAGATAAATTTATAAAATTCAAACAACAAACTAAAATGCAGTGTTTTCAATAATATAGTATATAGATTTAGTGAATTAAAGTATTAAACGTGTACGTTAATTTTCATTCAATCATGCAAATTATTCAAACTTTCATACTAATATATTGCATCACTAACAACTATATTGTTAAATTTTATTTTCCTCTTTACATGTTACAAATGGCGAATCAAGTTTCAACTAATAGCACCGCACCTAGCTCAAATAGCAATCAAGAATCAATACTCACAGGCTCGCACAGAAAATCAAATATTATCACTAGTTCATAATATCATGACTCTACATATTGATATTAAGCCAAAGAAAAAACAGTTAATAATCAAGAGCGACAATAATAAAAAAATTTAATTAAGAACTAAGAGCTAAGAAGAGTAAGTTAGTTAACATTAAATCTCTCTCTTTTTAAATTAGGAAGAGCAAGTCTATAACTAATTGCTCAAGTTTCATTCTCTCTTAACAATTAACAGTCAAGACTCAAGATAAATCTCAGCAATCTCCCGGTTAACAATTAACAATCAAGAAGTTAATTAAGGACAAACAAATAACAACTCACTCTTAACAGTTTACACTTAACAATCAACAACTAAGAACACAGATTTTAAGTTTAGTTGTAATTGGACAGCTCTTAACAGTTTACACTTAACAATCAACAACTAAGAACACAGATTTTAAGTTTAGTTGTAATTGGACAGGGAATATCAGCAAAACAAGTGTTAAAAAAAACTAAGAACACAGATTTTAAGTTTAGTTGTAATTGGACAGGGAATATCAGCAAAACAAGTGTTAAAAAAACATCGCTGAAGAGAGAAAGGTCAGAAAAAATAAAAAAGAAGGATAAAAAAAGAAACAAAAAGAAAAGAAAAGAAGGATTGATGTTTGTTGTTTGCTGAAGAACATCGTTGTTTGCTAAAGAGATAAGGATCATAAAAGAAAAAAAAGAAAACAACATCGTTGTTTGCTGAAGAGATAAGGATCAGAAAAAAATAAAAGATGAAGAGAAAGACAAAACCAAAAGAAAATAAGAAAAGAAGGATCGGGAGAAAAAAGGAAAACAAAATAAGAACGCCCCTGCTCGCTTAAAAGAAAAAAAGGAAAACAAAATAAAACAAAGAGAAAAGAGAAGAAGAACGCACCTGCTCGTCGTCGTCGTCGATTGCCGCTCGCCGTCGCCCGTCACCGCTCGCCTTTGCTGCTTGCTACTGCCGAGTGGAGAACACAAGGAGATCGGGAGAAAAGAGTGGGAGAAGCAGCGAAAAACCATCTCTTATCAGGTTTAAGTGGGAAGCAGGTATACCCAATAACCCCCTGAATAATATTGTGATTCTGCCCTTTTCCTCAGGCGCGCGCATGATCGAAGGCTGCAGGCGATGCAGGGCACTCCCCAGCCGTGTCGGGAATGAGGTCAGCCGTGTTAGGAACGAGTCGACACGCGTGTCGGGGCGTTGACGCGTGTCGGCGGCGTTGGCCGCGTGTCCGACGCGTGTCCGCGTCCGACACGGACTCGGGGCTTGTTTCCGCGTGTCCGTGCTTCATAGGTTATAGATGGTACAGAATTAGAGCAAAACAACAAATGTCCATAGTACCATTTGCCTACTCATCATGAGTTTAGCAAATGTATACAATACCTTTCTGTCCACAATGAAGTAAACTATTATGCTTTTTGAAAATGTCTAAAATATACTTACCCTCCATCATCACAAGATTCTTTATACAAATAAAACATTTAGAAATTGTCTCATTCACAATTGAGCAAGTTTCTAGCTACTACTAATGCAACTTTAACCCAATTTAAATTGCATGACTATGAGAAGAGATTGAGGTCATTTTTTGGAAGCAAACCACTGGCAGTATATGAAAATATAGGCCTCAACATGCAAGATGTGACCTTCCTTGGCATCCTTGCTAATGATGTTAATGCAAGTGGTCTCGTTTGAAAACATCATTTCCGAAAATAGTGAAAAAAACAAGGACGATGTTGAGCACCGGCATCCAATCTCAATTGAACTTGTCAGGTTGCAAAAGTTTTTTATTCTGTTGCACAGAACGGTGTTGAAGTTGGCTGCCAACCGAATTGTTACTTCTGGATAATTATATGTCAATCTAAGAAAAGTTTAAGGGCAAATGGTCATTTTTGAGTTTAATCCCAAATGGGAGGTAGTCCCTACTCCCTAAACTATAATAACACCCCCTCCCCACCTTTATTTAGTCCAAAAAGTTGGGACTATTTCATTTTAGCAGACTAAAATGCCCGGCCTAATCCCCTCTGAAATTTTGAACCAAACGCCTCACTATTTTCTTTTGAAGCAATAAAGGCTTATTAACCACGTAATAATACCCAATCCAAATACAACCTATGGGTATGAGCTAACAACCTACTTAACAAAGTAAGTTGTCGCTCATGTGGCGCCTGTCTGAAACAAGGACCACAAAGCAGCATTAATCCATCTTTAAGGCTAAAGCAAGGATTGTACGCCCTCTACATGAATGAGCAAGGAATCAGGCACATTATTACCACCTTACAATCCTCTAAGTGCAACAAAATTGCAGCCATCTGCATCATCAAAGGGACAGCTTTTCTGGATGAATAACGGGCGATACTGAACTGCATAAATCAGAATGATTGCATCACAAATACGAGACCTAATTCATTTAGCCCTCGACAACAGACCTGTTCTAAACCCAGCATCACTTTAGTCAAAGTGAAATATGCTGTTATCTACCAGCATTGCACTCTACAAAGCCAATTCACTGTCCACCGACAAATCCCCACGATTCTCTGCACTAAAATATCAGATCCCAATACAAAAAATCAAACTAAAACTCCCAGATCTACAATCTCATCCAACATCCACACGGTAAAAATTGCATCAGTTATATTAGCATTGCATCATGATAACAAACTACAAACAAACCAAACCAAACCAATTCAAAAAGATCTACCTCCGCGAAACTGCGGATCCGGATCCCGATGCCCTCGACCGCCGCCGACAGGAACACTGCAACTCCGACGATGAGCACTAGAACGCATCTCAGGCTGCAGACTCTGGCGATCGAGCGGCATCGGCCGCAGGAGATGGCGCCATTGCTCGTAGGGACCTCGGATGAAGGCGAGGAAGATGATAGAACTTGCTCATCCTCGCTCTTCCCCATTTCCTTCGTCTAAGTAGAGAACATTCCTCTTGCGACTGACATTGATGAGAGAATTTTAGGGCTAAGTTTTTTTTCCCCCTTTCTTTTCGAAATTTCACTTTCCTGTTTTCTTTACTCTTTCTCTCTCTAGACGGTGAGGGAAAAGGAGAGTTAAACAGCAGATTGAGAGAGGTGAGAGAGTAGTAGCACCGTCTCTCTCTCCTCCCCCTCTCTCTCTCTCTATTTTCTTTTGGTTTTTTACTTATAAACCCAAAATTTATGACTATTTATTTCTCACTTTCAAAATCGTTCTTAAACCCGAATACAGCAACTTGTACAGCGATAGCTAGAGCATTATCCCCGGATTATTGATGATACGGTGAGCATAGCAGAATAGTAACGGAATTTAGAAAGTGGGTTTTAAAATAATTTAAGTTTAGAAAGGACTTTCTCGGAGGGTGTTTGGTTTAAAAATAAATCAGGTTAAGAGTTGGGATTCATAAAGAAAACTTTTTAAAAAAAAAATTACAGCAACAGCTACTAATATTCTTCCACTCAAGCGGGCACTAGCACCGCTCTTTTTATCCGTTGTCTCAAAATTCTTAAAAAAACTGAGGGGTGCGCAGGGTAAGAGCAAGTACGCAACGAAGGCGGAGGTTAGGAGGGGAGATCACGTGCCGGTGTGGGGGTCCTTTCGAGTCCACTCTATCGTGGGCTTCTTCCTTGCTTGGAAAGGCATAAGGGTTTATTCATCGGGCACGATAATGGGCGTTAATTACGGTCCGTGCCACCGCACCGTCATCTATTGCGCTGTTCTCGGTCGGTGGGAAACGTTACGGTCTGAAAGACTGAAACGGTGCGGGATGTAGTGGCCACGATGTGCTGTGGTATTAATAGGTCAAAATTAGTAGGATAATAATTTGTCTTTTATGTTGTTTGAGATATTGATTTTTTTAAAAAAAATTATATTTTTCAAAATTTTATTTATTTAGTTATTTGAATTTTGTAAATATCCCATATGAGGTTAATTTATGGATTAACAATTGCACCTTTGTACTCCCAAAGTTAGATGAAATTCTCCGTTTCTCCTTCAGCTATTCAACCTTAAACCCGTTAAACTTAAAATTGTTAATTTAAGTTTGGAAAAAATGTGTCAAGTCCCCAAAAAATAAAGTTGTTGTGACTAGGTCCCCCGTATTATTTTTTATGTGACAAAGCCCCCAATACATGAAATACTTGTGTTTCAGCCCCTATTTAGCTTTCCAACACAGCACAGTGACAAACATTTGTTCAAAACCCAAAACTACCATTAACCTATTTCATGTCTACCCTCTCTCTCTCCCCTCTCTCTTCTCACGCTCAAACTTGTCTGCCAGAGATACTCATCCACCGTCATCGTCGCCGCCGCTGGCTGTCGCTCCTCTCCGACGGATACCTCCGCAAAGGTCGACCCCAAGATCCAGGCCTCTGACACCCTCCCTCACCCCATTCGCCACACGAATCTCCTCTTCTCCTTCCTTTTCACGACCTCTCTCTTCTTCCTCATGCGCTAGTGGCGCGAAAAGATCCGCACCTCCACCTGCATGTCGTCGGGTTCGTCGAGATCCTCTTCATTGTCTCCCTTGTTGCCTCCCTAATCTATCTCCTCTCTTTCTTCGACATCGCTTTCGTTTAATCCAGTGTATCCAGCTTCGATAACAAAGAGGAGAATCAACAACAGAGCCAGCAGCAACAGAGATACCCTCCCCCTCCTCCTCCTCCTCCTCCTCCTTGCCCTCTCCTGGTTGATGTCGTCGTCACCGGCGAGAAACCCAACGACGGCATTTCAACAATCTCCGTCGAAGACGAAAAGATCGTCGAATCTGTTGTTTTCGTCAAAAGTTGGTCTCGTTGTGGAATTCATTATATCTTCGGTCGATTACAATAAATTCAAAAGAAATAGTCTTTTTATAAGACTTCTTTTACACAACAAAATAAAAATTATAACTTTTTAGAAACAAACGCAGGATCGTTGTTTGGATCACTGCTTGCCTCGGCGGTCGAGACAGCAAAGACTGTCTCGGGTTCCGAGACAGTAAACACTGTCTCGGGTTCCGAGACAGTAAATAATGTCTCGGAAATCTTCAACCACCTGACAGTTTTCTTATAACTGCATTCCCATATTTTACAACTCCGTTATTTTGGCAGTTATCAACGTGATTCTCGCCCACGACGTTTCCCACGTTCTTGAACAGTTGGTGGCCACGTGTCGGCGGTTACAAAACAGTTTCTGATCTTTTGAAGGCTGTCTCGCGGGCGAGACAGAAAACACTGTCTCGCGGGCGAGACAGTAAACACTGTCTCGCATGGCAAGACAGCAAAGGCTGTCTCACATGCGAGACAGCAAAGGCTGTCTCGCCCGGCGAGACAGCAAAGGCTGTCTCGCACGGCGAGACAGCAAAGACTGTCTTGCGTGCGAGACAGTCTATACTTGCGTTCTTCTGCCTTTTTTGGATGACATCCTTTTTGAGCTGTATTTGGATATCTTTCAGCATTTTTTGACGTCTACAGATACCCCCTCCAAAGTATTCCAGACTCATTCCTTTATAGAGGAGTCTGGGATACTTTGGATAAGACATGTCTTATTTGCAATCCTTTCAATACTTGATTGAGTAGATCGTATGGAAGAATCTGTAAAATGGCCTCAGCCCTTGATCTCTTCATCCATTAGTCTATTCAGTTCTTTGTAGAATAGCTAATGCTTCTTCGGCACTGCGTTTATCGCTTGACCGTTGTTAAGATCTTGAATCGAGGCTGGTATTTCCATATTGATGCTTGTATGTCTATTGAGAGTTTGTCAGGTTATCCTTAAGAATATTCAGATTAATATTCTCTAGAAACTGCCTGTCGAATGTAGGAAAACAGTTTAGACTCGTGTACCTATTGGAGTAATACGGTCCCTTTTTTATTGGTAGAGATGAACCCAATGATGGAGAGGAAGAATTTTATATTCTATCTCCTGGTTTCTTGTTTGTTGGTAGAGATAAACCCGAAATCGGAGAGAAAGAATTTTATACTCTATCTCCTGGTCTCTTGTTTGTTGGTAGAGATAAACCCGAAATCGGAGAGGAAGAATTTTATATTCTATCTCCTAGTCTCTTGTTTGTTGGTAGAGATAAACCCGAAATCGGAGAGGAAGAATTTTATATTCTATCTCCTGGTGCAAAGGAAACTCAAAGTGGGATCTCCACCTAGAGAATCTGGATTGATTTGAATAATCCTAACTGTCATAATGTTTGATTATTCAATTCAAAGTTGGACCTTTCATTCGCAAAATGAATCGAAAAGGAGATTTTGGCTGTGGTCCTAACTGTAGTAAGGTTTGACCAAGTGGGAGTTTCGAGGTGATCCTAATTGTTTAAGGTTTGATCGTTCAATTTGTGGACCTCTCGTTCATAGAAGGAATCGAGAGGGGATTTTGGCTTTGGTCCTAACTGTTTAAAGGTTTGACCAAATGGGCAGTGAGACGATCCTAACTGTTTAAAGGTTTGATCGTTCAATTTGTGGACATCTCGTTCATGGAAAGAATCGAGAGGGGATTTTGGTTTGAGTCGATCCTAACTGTTTAAAGGTTTGATCGTTCAATTTATGGACCTCTCGTTCATTGAAGGAATCGAGAGGGGATTTTGGCTTTGGTCCTAATTGTTTAAAGGTCTGACCAAGTGAGACGATTCTAACTGTTTAAAGGTTTGATCGTTTAATTTTTGGACCTCTCGTTCATGGAAGGAATCGAGAGGGGATGTTGGTTTTGGTCCTAACTGTTTAAAGGTTTGACCATGTGAGGACTTGAGACGATCCTAACTGTTTAAAGGTTTGATCATTTAATTTTTTGGACCTCTCGTTCATGGAAGGAATCGAAAGGGGATTTTGGTTTTAGTCGATCCTAACTGTTTAAAGGTTTGATCGTTCAATTTATGGACCTCTCGTTCATTGAAGGAATCGAGAGGGGATTTTGGCTTTGGTCCTAACTGTTTAAAGGTCTGACCAAGTGAGACGATCCTAACTGTTTAAAGGTTTGATCGTTTAATTTTTGAACATCTCGTTCATGGAAGGAATCGAGAGGGGATTCTGGTTTTGGTCCTAACTGTTTAAAGGTTTGACCATGTGAGAATTTTGTGAGGAAAGATTGATCCAACGAAGTGATCGAATCTCATCTCAGCAAAAGAGTATTCAGAAATCACCGTGGGGATGTAGTGTTTATCACTTTGTTTGTAATGATCGGGTTATCCCTAAGAAAACTACATATAGCATTCTTCCGAGAATTTCCCGTTACATGAACCATCCACCCCCAGCTTCCTTCGCGAAACTGGGTCTAACATCAAACTGAGTTACCTGACTGGGTTATCCTTAAGAATATTACATGCAAGAATTCTCCAGGAACTTCATGTCGAGAGTAGGAAATAGTTTAGACTCATATACCTATTGGAGTATCGAGGAGCAGTTTATACTCGTATACTCTTTGGAATGATGAGAAGCAGTTTATACTCGTATACTCTTCGGAGTGTCATGAAGAAGCAGTTTATACTCGTATACTCTTCGGAGTTAAGGAGAACAGTTTATACTCGTGTATCCAATGGAGTGTGAGTCGTCTTTACTTGGCTTGTTTCGCCGTTATGACGCCAGAGTCAATTAAGGCTTGAATTTTGTTTTTGAGTCCGAAGCAAATCTCGGTGGGATGAAGAACCCTTCTGTGGTACGCACAGTAATTTGGATCCGTAATCCTTTTAGCTCCCTCCTGGTCTTTAATAGGTGGTAGCTCGATCTTGTCGTTGGCGAGGAGGTATTTCAAGATGGCTGGAGCTTCCTCATCTTCGAAAGAATATTCCTTTTGAAACCTCGTATCGGGAGTCGCGTTCCCAGTGATTGCAGATATCGTCGGTCGGCTTCTCTCAGCTTTCTTTCTTTTAAGAAAATGTTTAGCTTGTTCACCGCGCATTTTCAAATCTTTCCAAGTTTTGGATGGTACGACCCCCAGAGCTTCCAGGACATCGATGGAGAGATTATTGTGGCATGTTTGCAGGATGAACTCCTCTGTAATAGGATCTCTGCAATTCATTACCTTGTTACGAAAGTGCTTGACAAAATTGTCGACTGACTCTCCGTCTTTTTGCTTCTCATCTAAAAGGGTTCCGATCGACACTTCGGTGTCATCATCGAAGAAATTGCTGAG